ACTGTGAAGATTCTTTTTTGAGTGATTGGAACTATTAGATCTTTACTGTGTTCATTAATGACTGTCAAAGTATGACGAACACATTTTGTGGTAATCAATATGTATGCATGTATAAATTCCTTCATAACCAATGAATATTCAATGTGTAAAATTTATTTGGTACGCGCCTGGGCTATGTATAAAAATTCCGTTGGGTTTCTGTTTATATTGTGACGTAAGCGTCTGGGGACACATCGAAGAAAAATTCCCACTGCAATTTCAACTACGTAGTAAAAATATGGTCATAATTTGCGTCTTAGTTCTGCAATTTTCAAAGCAAAAGAATCATCAAGGTCAACTTACCCTGAGAAGCGTCGTTAAAAAATAACTCCGATTGACTAGTCCCTTTTGACTGGTAGAGAGGTGAGAGCGGCAACAGAGGAAGCCGGTACGGTGCGTGAAGGAAGGTCCAAATTGAGGTTGAATTAACATATTGAAGCGAAAAGATCACGTGTGTGTAAGATAGAATAATTAGAAACCAGATTGATTATATATTGGTAAATAAAAGATTCCGAAACAGTTTTAAATCTGTCAAAACATATCCAGGAGCGGACATTGAATCTGACCACATACCTTTAGTGGGAGTCATGGATGTGAGACTGAAGACAATAAAGAAAAATTCTAGACCTAACTACGACATGACAGCCCTGCAACATCCGGAAGTTAAAAAGCAAGTGGGGGAATATATTAACAACCAAGTTAAACAACTAAAAGAAGAAAATAACATCCAACGAGAAGTCAATCAATTCGAAGAAATAATTAAGAAAACTAAACAAGATCTGCTAAAACCCAACAAAGAAGAAATCTTGGATGTCTCCAGAAATCCTTCATATAATGGAACGCAGAAGGTTAATTAAAGGAAATAAAGATGAGTATAAAAAAAATGCAGGCTTACATCAGAAGAAAAATAAGAGAAGCTAAAGAAAAAGAAGCTGTAGAGAAATGTAAAGAAATAGAAAGACTACAAGCCAAGCATGACAATTTTAATGTACACCAAAAAGGTAAAAGAAATAACGGGTACTTTTAAAAAGCGAACACAAATGAAACTCATAGACACCAATGGAAAATTAATCATTGACACCCAAGAGATGAAAGACAGATGGAGAATATATTTGGAGACACTTTTTCAAGACCAAAGAACGGATTATAGGCATCCATTTTCAGAGAGGATGACGGGCCCGACATACTTAAATCCGAGGTAGAAGAAGCAATAAAACGGATGAAAAGCAGGAAAGCTGTAGGGCCTGATAATATCGAAGCTGAATTTTTAAAACTCTTGGAGGAAGAAGGAATAATTTGGATCACGGCTGTCTTCAATAAAATTATACAATACAGGAATCATCCCTGATAAATGGCTAGAATCAGAATTCATAGCGATACCTAAAAAACAGGGGACTAAAAAGTGCGAAGAATATCGAACAATCAGCCTAATGAGCCACATGTTGAAACTGTTTCTTAGAGTCATCCATGGAAGAATTTATAAGAAGTGCGAGGAACAAATATCGGACAGACAGTTCGGCTTCATTAACGCAGTGGGTACCAGAGAGGCACTTTTTGGAGTACAGGTACTGATTCAAAGATGCAGGGACGTTAACTGCGACGTATACGCGTGCTTGATCGACTACGAAAAGGCATTTGACAGAGTTCAACATCAAAAGATGATAAACATTTTAAAAGAGGCAGACCTGGATGACAAAGACCTCAGAATAATTTCAGAACTCTACTGGAATCAGACCGCATACATGAAAATTAACGGAGAAGAAACAGATCACATAAAAATACTACGTGGAGTTAGACAGGGATGTATCCTATCGCCGTTGATATTTAATATGTACTCAGAAAATTTTTAACGAGGCTCTTTACGGAATAGACGAAGGCATCCTTCTAAATGGTGAAAGAGTAAACAATGTTAGATATGCCGACGACACCATGGTGATAGCAGATAGTTTAGAGGGACTTCAGAGGCTAATGGACAGAATAAACGAGTACAGTCAACAGTACGGACTAAACATTAATACCCACAAAACGAAACAAATGATTATCAGCAAGGAGAATATAAATGGGGCTCATATATACATTAATGGGACGCAGATAGAGCGAGTAAAACAGTATTGTTACCTGGGAACTATTATTAACGAACAGTGGAGCAATTTACAGGAAATAAAGTGCCGCATAGGAAAGGCAAGAACGGTCTTTAACAAAATGAGCGCCATCTTCAAAAGTCACAACATATCCCTTGATACAAAAATGAGACATTTGAGATGCTATGTTTTCTCTGTGTTGTTGTACGGGGCGGAGGCATGGACGCTTACAGACGCCACTATTAAAAAACTTGAAGCATTTGAGATGTGGCTTTATAGAAGAATGCTGAGAATATCATGGACAGCAAGGATCACGAACAAGGAAGTTCTAGGAAAAATGAAGAAGGAACCAGAGATTGTGTTTACGATCAAACGCATAAAATTGCAATATCTGGGACACGTTATGAGAAATCAGCACCGTTACTCCCTGCTACAGTCTATATTGCAAGGTAAAGTCAAAGGTAAGCGAGGACCCGGTAGAAGGAGAATATCATGGCTGCGGAATTTAAGAACATGGTTTAAGAAAAACCTCAACGGAGCTGTTTCGAGCCGCAGCGGAGCAAGGTTATGATTGCCAATATGATTTCCAACATCCGAAACGGATAATAACTAGAAGCAGAAGAAGTGTGTAAGATTCAGAAGGCCGGCAGATTTTGTTTGTGGAAGTTATATGTGTTGTATTATGTTCTAGATGGAAGATCAGTAAGGTATTAAAAAGATATAAGTTTTTCATATGAATGACTTTTCATTGGATGTTAGGTTTTTCATATTGTTCTTTTTAGACGAACTGTGATGCTATCAAATTGGATAGGGAAACGTTTTCAATAAATAGATGAAGTAGCCATCATCTTTGTCTTTTTTTCTATATCTTTTGACCGAAAAACCCGCCACTCTACGAGTGATTCTTAATTTTATATAATATAATATGTATTAATGTTATTATTTATGTGATTTATTATTAAACGTTTATAATTATTTTAGGCTTTTGTAATTCAAAATAATCACTGTTTGTACAAGAAAACTGTCAAATTTTCGAATCCCAATTATGAATTTCCTTTATTTTTGAAATATTTAAAAACCTCACGTTAATCTTATTATATGTATATAAGCAAAAATGCTAAATTTTAAAATAAAATGAAAATTTAACAACATAATCCGAGTTGTTGGTTTTTTTATTTTTATCTTCGTAATAATAAGTTATATATATTGGCAGTTTTACATACTTTATGAATATTACATTTTTAATTTATATTGTATTATATATTGAATTATGTTGCAATGTATTTATTATTGTTCTGAAGCTATTTTCTTGTGGCATTTTAAATTAAATTACTATTTACTGGGAATAAGCCACAATAAAGTTAAAAATACGTTTATTGGTGTTTCAATTTCCTACTTCGTGGAAATCGTTCTCAAAGTACAAACAGTAAATTTAAAGTGGAAATGAAACGTCAATAAACGTATTTTTTAATCTTTAATTGTGGCTTATTCCCCAGTAAATAGTAATTAATGTATTTATTGTATTTTAATTTTTATAATAATAACAAATAAACAATGATTTTACTGCAGAGTATGTGTAAAATATTTTTTTTTGCATTTAACTCATTTTATACTATATGAAAATAAAATATATATTTTCATTACAAATATTGATACAATCATTCATTTACTATACTCGTATTACAGGTCAAATGTTTACTAATACAGCAAACGATGCACCAAATACCTATATAACTAATTCTTTTTCTCTATCTGCTCTCTCTTACCTATAGCATTACATATGTAATGATTGTGCAGATTGACTCCATATAAAGTTTTAACGGCGAACGCGTGTATAGAAATATAACTTCTACCGGCAGTTCCACTGGACTGCCACACCCGTTTGTTTTTAACCCGAAGCTTGATCCAGTGCCCAACTTCGTCTGTTTGTTTATCCTTGGTCATTCCCGACATTTTGCAGCTAGTAAGACGCATTTGTTTGTTTTGCAGTGTTTTGTCATAATAGTAATATATTCTTAGTAAAGTTTTAAAATTTTATCTTGACATATGACAGTTAGCATTATTTTCTTGACATTTGGTACATACCTAACCATAAATTTAGAATTAGTTTTGTTTTGTTTTTAAAAAGGTTAACCTTAATGTAAACTGCATTGAAAGATCTAAATGATCTCAATTTATTATTAATTTAGGTTCTTATAGTGTCCACAACGTCTAGATGTTGAACTGATAGTAACATTGTAAGTTCTTTTTTGTTTTGTTATTATTATTTTATTTGTAACTGTTTTGGTGAGATAATAATAAATATGTAATGTTTCTCCACTAAACCAAGAGTATTATTTTGTTTTAAAAAGTTTTTAAACGTTTCCACTTTTGTTGATTTTTAGGAAAAAAGCCTATCTTCCGTCGACCAAGCAGGAAGTTCTTGTAACGGCGATCCATTTTAAATAGCTTAGGAACCTCTTGTTTGTTTTGTCAAGGAAATAGTCATGTAAGTACCCTTTTCATTAACTTTTGTAGTTACCCCATTCCGGTCCCATTTTGTATTCACTTTCTCACGACCCAGCTCTCCAAACAAACTAAGAGTAGCTTGCTGCGTTATAAAATTGTATCCGTTTATTATCTACACTAAATACTCACTTTAACAGTACATTTCTTTTATATGTTTCTGCAACGTTATTAAATGCATTGGCTCAAATTCAAAAATATCATCATTTCGCATCAGATAGCTAAATAGAACAGATCTGAAATCTTTGTTGTACTTGATTTACAGCACAAATCTTCCATTGTTTCAATAACTATTATGGATCAGATTAACTTAACTTAAATCAGTGAGTTTTTTGGCGAATAAAATAAAAATGGGTATTAACAAACAAGAACATAGATAATCAATGCATTTATTTATTTTCTTCTGTACTAATAACTTATAAAAAAATCCAGTCATCAACGATCTGCAGCATACACCGAGCAATAACAAAAAATACACATTTTCGCTAGTAGACATCATTTTTTCAAACAAAATAAATGCAAAGTGTACCTAAAATAACAATATGTCACAATACATACAACAGCACATAACCTCACATTTTTAGAGCTACTCTTAAGTCACTATGAAGTCATCATATCACTAACTGACGAACTATTTACATTGGGTCCCTTCAAAGAATCATTTATATCTCTTCTAAACATTGACAAGTTCTGAGTAAATCTGAAATTAAAATAAATATTTTATTAATATTTTGTGTGTATAATAAATGTAAAATAGATCATAGCGTTTCGTAAATATATGTTTGTTATTTGCTCACTGGAAAGCTGGATAATAAAAATAGAACATATAAAGAGGTTCGAAGCATAGTGATATAGGCGGATAATGAAAATTTTATGGGAGTTACAAATGTTGAAGTGCTGAGAATCATAAGAACTAGCAAATTGAAAAATGAGAATATTTAGGTCATATTATCAGAGGTAATAAGTATGAAGTACTAAGACTTATCACTCAAGGAAAGATCAAAGGTAAAAAACAGTAGGTCGAAGAAGGATTTCCTGCAAAACTTTTTAGAGCGGCTAAAACTAAAAATAGGAATCGCTATGATGATAACTAACCTCGATAGTTGAAGGAATCACAAGAAGAATCAAATCATATATGATGGGGAGGTCTTCGATATTAGTCTTATTATTAACGCACGTTGGTTGTTTTTTTTTAATATGTACTATCACCAATATAAAGTTTGTTTAGCAGAAAATGGTTGACTTCAATTAGTGCGTTCGTAAATATTATGAAAATTTATCTGACTTGGCTCATTGTTAAGACCGGTCCGGAGCGATAACCAAACGAGGTAGACAGAGTTGGTCTTTTGACAATTAACACTGACTAGACGGTATTCCTATAATAAAGCAAAGGATCCACAAAATTTACAATAATTACTACGATAAAACAAAAAAAAAACGGATGTAAAATATATTGCTTTGCCTTATATGCCCGAAATTAATATTTTCAAATGAGTTTCAAGATAAATTAAATCTATTTTAATTACTAAGATTATAGAAAAACAAACATTAATAATAATTTGTGGTTCTGAAAAGAACCGTTTTTTTTAATCGTAACATTTGTGGATTTGATGACAGTATTACTCCACACATAGTTCTGTTTCGCTATCGCTAGTTTCACCTAAATTAATTATGATCTTCTTTTTATGGTGCTTTATCCAATTAGTGGATGTTGGCGACAATTCTGGCATACTGCTCTTGATCTTGTGTGGCTCTAAAGAGTGCATGGGCATCGAGGTTTGTCCAATCCCTTATGTTTTTAAGTCATGAGTATTTCTTTCTTGCGATGCCCCGTTTTCCTTTTATCTTCCCTTCCATAATAAGCTTTTAAGAACTAGTACTTGGAATTTCGAAATATATGACCCAGATAAGCAGTTTGTCTTCTTTTTATTATTGGTAGCTATTCCCGTTCTCTGCCTATTCGATTTAATACTTCGACATTTACTGTGTGATAAGTCCAAGGAATTTTAAGTAGTCTTCTAAATACCCATATTTCAAAGGCCTCCAATCGGTTCATAACATTGGCCTTTATGGTCCAGGTTTCTACATCATATAGCAGTATGGTGTAAATGTAACATTTTACAAAGCGATATCGAAGCGTTAAGTTAAGGCTGCTGTTGCTTAGCAAGGTTCTCATATTAGTAAATGCTGTTCTGGCTTGCTCAATCCTGCTACGTTCAATTATATTATGATCTACTTGAATATATGAATTTTCTTTACTTATTACGTGTCGGACTGAATTCCTCCAACTACTTGGAAGAATATCATTTATAAATTTTCTTATTAACTCTACAATACTACTTAACGTTGGAGAAATATTTTTCTACCTCACGTTAGACTTCAATTCGTGCCACATGTGTTCTATGGGATTAAACATACAATAATAAGGTGGACACCGCAGCAATGTATGTCCCATTTCCTCTGCCAATGTCTCACAAACATATACTTTGTTATACAAAATGCCTTTAAAACTTCTAAAAGCACTTGGTTTGGTGTAACATTCTTCAAAATACACATCATTCGTCTCCATGTTATTTTGAATTTCCAATTTAGTATTATTCGAAGCCTTACTTAGTTGGCGACTGTGATAGCTTGCATTGTCCATTACTCTAACGCTATTCTTAGCAATGTTTGGCATAATAAACAATTCTTCAAAAAGTTTTGCCGTTGTATCTTCATGGTAGTTGACGCAGGAGTCATTAATATTCTTTGCAGAAAGCCACAGGACATTTGGAACCCAACCATTTTCTGATCCAGCATGTAAAATCGTTATTCATTTCCCTTTATTTGACGGAGCTTTTGTCTTACATTTAGCGAAGAAATCGGCAAATTATTTGGGTCGCGTTGAATGTGTGTCAAACCATATCTCGTCGAGGTAAATTATCGGAAGATTTTCAGAACGGAATTTTCTTATCGAAGTTATATACTCATAACGCCATTTTTGTAATCTATGAGATTCTATAATTACTTGTCTTTTGTCAATTATACGATATCGAAAGCCCATACTTTTCAAAATTTTCCATAAGCTGGTGAGGCTACAGCTTATTTGGGTTTCGTCAACATTGAGCCGTTGTTTCAGAGCTCTTAATGTAGGTATGCGTTGCTCTTCGTACATGGTATAGACGTTTCGACGTATCAAGTCCTTATCGGCTTCGTCCATACATTTGGTGGAACTGAAATCTTTACGTTTTTTCTTGTTTCTATGGGATTTGATGTAATTCTTTTAATTGTGGTCAAAGGTATTTTCGTCAAATCGCATATTTCACTCGTACCGGAAGTTGTATCAAGTCCTCTTTAATTAAGGTACTGTATATAGTTTTTACAATTTGCTTTGCATCTACAGATAAAGGTTTCTTCTTTACTGAAACACTAAAAGAAGCCCCATTATTATTATCCCATGGATGCCACAGAATGATAGAAAACGTAATGAATAAAATGAGTAATACTACTTAACACTTCCCGTGATACATAAAGATAATATGATAATAAATATGATATGATAATAAATTTTATCAACAACTCGTATTTAAAAACTCGTTGGTGTTCAGTTCCATAAACTTATTATAAGATTGACAAATTTTACCAGGAATCATATTTAAATTTCACCTGAAACCGAGCCTTTTATACTACTATCGGTTAACCCAGCATGTTTATAGCCGGTACTAATTGAAGTCAACCATTTACTGGTAAACAAACTTATATCTTTTATTTGAGTTATTTAACGACAATTTCCGATTTAACAATTTTGCAGATATTGTGTTTAACACTACGTTTTAATTTAACTAGATCCGTTTATCCAAACACTTTTAGTCTAGTTAAGTAATTTATATGTTCTCTTTTATAATGCATTTAGAATGGCCCAATTTGCCACATAATCGAATTAAATTAAATCAAAAACTACTTTTTGTCATAGTAAATTTAATCTGATTTCATACTCACCGGTCTCTATTTTTTGTAAGTAAATTCCTTTCTATACCCTCCATAAGGTTTTCAAACCATTGCGCCATTGCTGCCTGTTTATCGGGAGGTTGGCTTCGAATTATACTTTCTCGCATTTGATTGAAATAATCTTCGTTAAGTAGAATGAGTCCTAGTAGCGGACGCGACATTGACCATTGATTTCTACAATCTTCAAACATTATTACGTTCAACACGGTACTAAGGATTTGCTGAAGAATTTCCGGATGCATCTCCAAAACTTTTAGGAACATGTCACTGTTTGTTGTCATTCCTACACGTTGCTCTTTCCCAGGATACACTAGAAAAAAAAAAGTTATTAGCAAGTTAAATTTGTTAATACATAAATATCATACAAGCTGCAATTAGAAAAAATATCTGAGAATTAAGAAAACAATACTTATGAGGGACAATATTAGGCAATACATATATACATACATATCGCCCTAACTCCCACTGCCTCACTCCTTTTGCGAGGCCAGCCGAAAATAACCGAAATTTTCATATGTCAAGCTGAGCATAGTTGTTTAACGTCGAACGTCGCGTCAATGATACCAAACGTACTATAATTATAGTATTTGTACGATAATTACAACTTTTGTTTTATTAATTTGTATACCTACTTAGGTATAACCGCAAGTTTTTTTTACTTGCAGAATTCAAGTAACTAATAATGGATGAAAGAGATTTTGAACAGGGCCCAGATTTAGAGTTCATCAACACCTCCAAAAATGAAAATTTGCATCAAGAGAATCTAAAAATATCGCAAAGAATGGAAATCAACTTTTGAATGGGTTTGTAATGATAAAGATACCAAAAAAGGGCAAAGGTAAAGTTTGTTCTAGTTCACTGAAATCGGAGATACAGGTATTGAAACTTCATGAAAATAGTGCAAAATATAAACTTAATATAAATTAAATATAAAATTAATTACCAATACTGTTAACGATATCTTATCAATACTTTTATCTCAATCTCAATGTATAAAAGAAAAAATAGTACATGCCTAATATTTGAGCCGTCAAAGCAAATGTATTTGGGATGTTCACAATCGGTGTATGGACACTTAAAAAAAGGCCGAAGATTTTAACATATGAGACGAAGATGATGATACTGAGCTTGATCTTAATTTCGGCTAAAAGTATGTACACATTTTATTGTTTCAAAAAATTGCTTTTACTTTTTTTAATATTGTTAAAATTTTATGTATTCAGAGTTTTGTGTTTATAATAAATTTCATATATCTTATACTATGTTTTTTTCCAATGTACTATAATAACCTCCCCAGTTCCAAGAGAGTTTCAAGTACATCCATACCCCAACGATTTTGCAACAATTTTTTTGATATAATTAGATTAGTAACTAATTATTATATATTACAGTAAGATTAATTTTAAAAACCCTTTGCAATTACCGCAGCTACGCGAATGGTCGTATCCCAAAATCTCCCTTTTGCGCCTCGCCGAAACGAAGTTTGGAAAATAGACTTACAATTTCATATTTTATATAGGTCTTATTATTGTAATCTGTTTGCTATGAGAGGTGCCGATATAGTCTTTTATGAGAATGTAGGGTTCTTTAGAATTTTGTATCTTTATAAACCTAATTCTTTGTATATCTTTCAGCTTTTTCATTCCTTAAAATAAGTACCGAAACAAGTAGATTACTTTATGGCTGTTTTGTTAGAAATTTGAGAGCAACCGGCTTCGTAGTAATTTTTTTGGGAACAAAGAACATTTAGGTCTTTTTTTATATCGCTGGGAAGAGAGTAAGAAATTTTTTTAAACTTCTTACAAATAGCTATCTTTATCCGGCTTGTGAGAGTTGGGCCAAGGAAGCGGCTACTTTACTTCAAAAACATTATTAGCCTGAACAATATTAGGTGATGGAAAGGTTCATTTCCGATAAAAAAAGAAGTTTGATTAATTATTATTTATTAAATGGAATTGATTTACTCCCAATATTGAAAATTATTTGTATAACTTTTGCAGTTATCGATCCACTTGTTTGTGAAATAACTATTGTTTTCTATTATAAAATTCGTCATTTCTAGATAATTTATTCAGAAGCAAGAATACAATTCGCCGTCTTACTTACCTTTTTGAGTTAATTGCTTAAATAAGTAAGTTACTATGTGGTCTAATGTTGCACAGCATCCAGTACAAACCATTGTATCTGAAAGAGGAGCAAAGTCATGTTAAGGCCGATGGTTAAAAAATATTGTTTAGGGCAGTTACAAATGTTAACAATTTAAAATAAGTATCAATAAAAAAAATTGAATATTTATCGATACAATTTAAAGTTTTTGGAAAAGTACAATTAAATTGAAAATACAAATCTCGCCTGTCCTCAATCTTATCTTCTATTATCAGCTGTAAGAGGTTATATCTTTCGTGCATTTTTAACTATTCTTAAAAGTTATCGATCTATTTACCCGTAACGTTTCTGACGTGGTCCGACCAAGGAATTTTCAGCAAGCGATTAAATACATACATCTCAAAACTTTAAAGTAGCCGCATTGTACTAATTTTTAACGTCCATGCTTCCATAACACATACATAACATTTTACCCCATGGTATCTAAGCGTAAGTTTAAAGATCATTTGCAATAAACAAGATTTAGTGTCTTATTAATTAGCCAGCCAAGGTATTTGAATCTTTCCATCTGCATATTCGGATGCCCATTAAGTTATTGAGGAGGGTCACTTTTAAAAATGATCATTTAGTTTTTTTACATTGATTCAGAATACCAATTGTCCTTCTTGCTCGATTCTATCTATCAAAGTTTCTAAATGTTGTTCGTTGTCAGCGATTAGTGCCGTCGGCATATCGGATATTGTTATAACCATATAACAGAGGATAAAACGCAACATTGTCTCAAGTCTCTTGAAATAATCATAACTTCAATATCACCAGCGTCTTGTAATTTCACTTGAATCAAGATTTGTTCTTTGCAAACATTTTATCAATTTGTTGTGTGTTAGTTCAAAAAATCTATTTTTGCTCATCTTTGCGCAATTTGCTTCATGTCCATGTCTTACTCGCATTTTCTATATATTCGACGTACAATAATTTTTAGAAATACTGCATATAAATATAAAATCACTACATTTTCCTTGCATTGCTAGTGTTTGCAAGGGGAACAAAAGCTGATGTTACCCATTCCCTAAGAATTTCGCCTGTCCTATATAAGTTGTTAAAGATTTGGGCGAACATGTCTAAATTTTCCACTTCAACAATTCTTACCTGTACAAATATTATCATTTTTTTATGTTCTTTATTCCTTATGACCATTTTAGTATAGGGAAATCATTCTGGTAAGGTACATGCTGGTTTACATTTTGTGTATGTATTGTTATCACCAAATAAGTTCTGTCATCACATCTTTTCTGCAACAACTCTAGTCTTTCAAACAGTTTTATTTTGTTTTAAACAGTCTATCTATCTCTTTATATTTCTTTTTGTCTTTGTTATGGCACTGTCTTCTTCCATGAATTAACTCCAGAATCTCTTTGGTTATCCAGGGTTTCTTTGCCGTTTGTTACGTACTTTTGAGGATTCCTGCAATATTACTTTTAGCCATATCTTGACTGAAACTTCTGTTACTTAAACAAATGTTAAACCTGTAACATTTTTTCTTCTGTGCCTTTACAATGTTTATTCAGTTCTTGTTGTAATTTCTTTTTATATCGTTTTCTTTTAGAAATGTCATTGTCTATTATTTGCTTTGTTTATTGGGTCTTTTTCAGAAAATACTTAAACTTGGATACTAATAAGTTGTAATCAAATGAAACATCTACGCCAGGGTAGTTTTGGCAATTCTGATCTTCTCCTGCCTGGTGTGTATTTTTCTCTGGATAATCAATTGAAGTAGGCAGTACTTATGGCGTCTCAATATGTGGTCTAGATATTCTTCAAGTTTTCTTTGAATAATTGTGCTAACAATTTCTTTTTATATTCCAATTCTGTAGATTACCTTGGTGACATGTTCGGGTTCATGATCGTATAAGTTCCGAAAAATGTTGCCTTTAACTAGTCGTAGTTAGAGAGAAAGAGACAAATCCTTGCTTATGAGGAGCTCTTTCATATTACTAAATGCTGCTCTAGCTCGTTCTATTTTCACCTAAAGGTATACATGGTAGTAACTGTCGTGCAGGTTGTTGTTTTTGCTTATCACCATCCATTTTATCTTCTTGAAGTTGAGCCTCAGACGTTAGTCCTCACTGACTGCGTTAAACCTTTCCATCGGCTGTTGTAATTCATCTATGCTACCGACAAGGATCACCGTGTAATAGGTATTTCTATGTTATTCCTTAACACCCTCTGTAACTTTTGAATACATTTTTAAATTATTTCCTCTGAGTAAATATTTAAGAGGAGTGGTGATAACATACACCAATATGATCTTTTATTTTGGTGTGATCAAGAGTAAAAATAGAAAATAATTTCTATTTTTACTCTTGTTTGATCCAGTGTAGATTTGCCACAATCCGAATATCGTTGTCGTCAATACCTATCTTTCGCAGAATATCTGTTAATTGTTCATACAGTGCCTTTTTAAAATCCATAGAACACAAATAAACATGCTTATTAACGTCTCTACATCGCTATATAAACACCTGGAGAGCGAAAACTGCTTCTCTAGATCAATATTTGAGTCAATTTATTATATATTCTTGGTGAACATCCATTGGTATTTTAGAGATTTCATTATGTGGATTACATCCTTAATTCGGTGTTATGGCCAATCCATTCTAATCTTTTGCAATTCATTTTGGCTATCCCTAACATGAACCGCTCCATTAACTTTTGAATAATTGAAAGTATTGTTATTATTTCTTGCTTGTTATTATTATAAGCTTGCTACATTGTTCTTTTGCTTCTCGTCGTTTATACTCATCTTTAATTATTTGTTTTATAATTTTTGCATACCATAATTTATAAGTTGGTGTTATTGTCACTGTTGATAGTTTGTCCATCCCTTTTATTGATACTATGGGATCTATAGTGAAGAAAGTCTAAAATGTGTAAAGGTTAGCGCCAGTAATATTTCATATTATATATTTATATACAATGTGTCGTGTTAAAATATTAAATTTGAATAGCGCGGAAAGAAATACTGAAGGGACACAGCAATAATATCACCTATCAACTGTGACATTAGTAAATAGTAGATACGCAGCATTGGTTCTTACTAGCTGATAATTACTATAACATTAATATTAAGTAATTAATAAGTTGTAACGAAATGAATAAAAGCTTACCCAACAAAAGATTTAGTGATTTGTATGTTCAATTCCTTTTGTTTTACCTTAAGGTAAAAGATCTGATAATGACTAATATCAAATAAAGCGACGGTATTTAGTTTTAAGTTTTTACTCTTCAATATAATAATTACAGTAATTTAAAATATTGTACAAACTTTCTTCTGGTGAGAGTACAACACTTTTTCTAAAATATATTTTTTAGAAATACCCGGCCTGACCTGGAGATGGCGGCAGTTGTTTGAAAAATATCACTCTATTAGAAAGTACACAATATATACAGCATATGCAAGACGCCACGTTGTTTAATATTTGTTTTGTAGCCGTCAATAGTGAACATTTTCAGTGAATTTGAGAAAATGAAGAAAATTGTCATCGTTATGTGATACAATACTTTTATTTGAAAGGCCAATCAATAGAAAAGCTGAACTGTATTCTACTCTGGGTGAGTCTGCTCCTTCGTTTACATACATAAAATATTGGATAGCAGTGTTTGAACGAGGCTGTGAGAGCTGCTAAAACGACCATGGGAGTGGTCGATCAAATGAGGTGACGACTCTAGAAACGGTCAAACAAATTCACTACGGCCCACGAAAGTGGTATTGGATGATCGTGGTAAGTTCGTTACATCGCATATTAATTAAAAATTTGGACATGAGAAATCTGTGTGTAAGGTGGGTGCCACGTTTGGTAACACTCAAGCAAAAACAGTGTCGTGCAGATGTTTCAATTGGGTGTTTACAGCAACATTGAAAGTTATTGAAATGCAGAAATTGAAAGTTTCACAGTAACAAAGCAGAATTTTTGGACCATTTCATAACTATGGATGAAACATGGGCCCCCAAGACAGAAGAACAATCAAAACAAAGGACTCAAAAGGGAGAACCGGATCCAAAGAAGGCGAAGATCGTTTCATCTGCAGGCAAGGTCATGGCGTCGGTTTTTTGGGATATGCGTCAGGTAATTTTTATTAAATATCTTGAAAATAGAAAAACTATGAACGGCAAGAATTATTGCAACGTTTAAGTGAAGAACTTAAGCAAAAACGGGCCGCAATTTGGCTAAGAAGAAAGTGTTGTTTTATCAAGACACCAGCTCACAGATATGTTAATGCAATGGCCAACATTCATTCCAATCGCCCGTAGATTACTCTGCTCGAAAACTTGAAAGAATGGTCAAATAGTTTCCAACCGTGAAGTCTGTAGTTAATGTCTATTTTGAGGAGCAAGACAATTCCTGTTATACACAGGGATTCGAACGTATTGAACATCGCTTGGAAGAGCTTACTTGAATAGACTACCCTGTATATCTGTATTCGATAAGCATAAAATTAATTACAGATATATTTGAAAGATAATAAGTTTATGCTCAGAAAGAATCACAAATACGCGGAAGTACAAATGATTTATATAAATAAATAGTATCTGCAATCTATGAAGACCCTGGTCACTTTTTAATAATATGTGAAAAGTTTAACGTAAAAAAAATCATGGAGGAAACACTACTTAACTTTGGAAACGAAGGAGAAAAACGATAGAAGTAAACAGCTATAAAATTTCCTTTTGGAAAATAGTATATACTAAACAAACTTTAAAAAGGAAAAAGCACAGAAGATAGCAAAGACTAAACAGAAGAGCAAGAGAAAAAACGAATTTAAAGACGTTCATGTATTATTACTACTTCAGCACCCATAGTAACCACATCTTTCAGTAACTATCTATCTTATCATCTAATAACATCCATCTTTAGACATAGACCCCTTTCTATTTCCTTTATCGTCCTCTATCCTGGTCTCAACATAATAGAATAACTCCACAGAGATTTTGCTTACATCCAAATATATGAATTAAAAATGTGAATATATCTGAGATCGACAGATTATGGAAAACTGCGTACGATGTAGCAATGAAC